AAACATTGAGAAAAAATGGCCTTGATTACCTACGAGAAAAAGCGGAAATATCACGAGAAATAAGATCTGCAGAACTCAAGTTAGAAGAACAAAAAATGGATAATGAAAAAGAAAAATTGCAAATGACAAAGCAAGACTTGCCTTGGAGTCTAAAAGGCTTGAGGCAGAAATTCAAGAAAAAAACATAGGATAGAGTTAGAACAAAAGAAATCTGAGCAAGATGTCGCTGAAAGAAAAAACTTGAGTGACCTCATCAAAACACAAACAAAAGCTTATTGAAGCATTACTGACAAAACTTGATAATAGATAATTTGCCATTAAAAAAATAATATACTGGCCTTATATTGAAATAATAATGTTGATGCTAAGGATGGTGAGCACAAACCAAGTTTGTTGCCGAAAATATATGAAATTGATTCTGCAACTGGTTCCATGTATGAACATAGTAAAACTGGTGTAACTTCAGGATCAAACATATTTCATCCACAACTCCTGAAGAAGTTGATTTCATATATTTTCAGCACATACTAATTTAGTTTTGAAATCTCTTATTGGGTGCTTGCTGCCCTTATGGTTGTAAAATAAATAAACATACATTCCAAACAAGCTTTATTGGTCTACAAGTCTATAAAAATTACAAATTATCATCAAGCGTTACAAGTTAGAAACAACCCAAATTTAGATGTAAAAGATGGCTAGCGCCATCTAAATTGCGCTAGAGATAGTTTCTTTGCAAGTTTCGTCAATGACGACGCAGGCAAGCAGAAACCCCTTACGATTTCTGGTCGCTGACTCAGATGAATTGTACAGAGTACAGATACCCCCGGTACCAACCAACAGTAGCCGGCCACCAGAGTCGTAACGCAAGGCGTTCACAGGACAAACTAACAATAGCATTTCTGCAGAACATGCAATAATATAGTCTGATATACTCGTTTGCTTTCCATTGCAAAGAAACTAGTTCTAGCGAAATTTAGATGGCGCGAGCCATCTTTTACATTTACCGTCTTCCCGCTATTGATAGACCACATTCGCTTGTTTACTTTCCATTTGTCCGCCTTCACGGCTGGACCTGATACAGACCTATACCATACTGATGAGGGCTAAAGAGCCCGAAACAGCGCTGTCTGCGGTTGGTCTTGGCTGCGGCGATGGAAAGCAAACGAGTATTTCAAACCCAAAATGTCCTCTATTTATCAGTGGCCTATGTAGGTCTCAAGTGAAGGTGGATTTGTATTGAAATACATAGCAGTCTGACTACTATACAGGCATGTATGGCAGTTAGTAAGTAGTACAGCCACCTTGTATAAAGCATCAACGTCTTGAAGTAGCATTTTTTGGTTTTTTGAAAAATCTACAAAGGCAAATTCTGATATGACTTTCTGAAAAACCCCATTTCTACTGCTATCCTTAGAACTTTCATAGCAGAATTGAAACTCTGCTGATGGGCAGGTAAATCTTCCATTCTGCCATGAAATGGGGTAAATAGCACATCACTCAGCCCATATCCTTGATCACCAAATAAAACAAATCGTCTTGTGTCAAAACATGTCTTTTGCACTAATTCTTCAGAGATACCTGACTCCCTAAATATTCTGGCATCATGCCTTCTTCCCGGATATGCGCCTTTCAAACTAACAATAATTCCATCAGGACAAATTATTGATTGGAATTTTATGCAGTGATACCTTTTGTGTCCTGAATAATACTCTTCTTGATTTCAGAGGGTCGACAAATTTTCCTTGCTGTACCATCGATGAAACCCCAACAATTATTCATAGGTGCTCCTTTATTATGAATAGCCTACAAAAAGCACATTTCAGCATTTTATGAACCAACCATCACTTCAACTATATTACACAATACAATACCTGTGCATAATACTCCAACTTCTCCCTATTAAACCACTGCAATGAATTCAAATTGTTGAGAAGTACAGCATGCTCCTCCATAATCACACTTATCAATTTATTTATGATTTGTGACAAGACTGAGTTGACAAGTGGAACATAGGGACCATATCACACAATCTGTTTGGATATGCCAGCCGTCTTAGTAGAATGCACAATGCTGTTAAACCTGAAAGAAGATAAATGGAACTTATACTGTGGTTTTCATGTTGATAGAATTCCAGCCTCTGGCAAGTGTTGTTTGAGTCAGAGGATGGAGTTCGATTGAAATGATGAACATATAGCAATAAATATTTAAACAAAATCATACCATCCACTTTATTACGTGTGATAGTGACAATTTCTGAAGGTATTCGTAAAACAGCCATCAGCCTATGAAGGTCAGACCTCTCAAATCGAAAATTTAGTCTTATTACTTCATCTGGCAAGTTTTCCAAGTTGAATTGTGCTGTATGAGTAATGCCTCTATCAATAATATATTATGGAGGATGATATGTTCTATTCCTCCTCATCTGCTCCTGCCAATATAAACTGCTTCCAATTCAGCTTCCATTTTACAATCTCACTTCTCACACCTTTGGTAGAATTTCAACTACGAACCACCTATATTATGCAAGCAAAAACTGGAAGGAAAAGTGAGGTTAAGATAAACACCATCAAAGCGAACGTCAAAATACGTTACATGTGCAATATCTCTAATTCCACTGTACTTATTTAGGTTCACCTAAATAATGCATACCCTTATTTAGGTCCATATGCAATATCTCTCTAATGTATTTCATCCTTGAAGAAGTTTGAGAGGTACCCTTATTAATCGTCAGCAGATTTAAAAAAGGTAAACATAATTTTCATTCCTGTCAAATCATAAACATTTACACTGAAGAAAGAACGTGCTATCCTTACGCGAACACGGTTCACATATATCAAGTGTCAAGCGCCATTTTTTGTAAGTGCGGTAGCTAGACATGCGACGTTGCCGGATCCTCACATAAATCGGAGTTTGTCATACAATTTTATAGAGGGCATAATGCTATATCGAACATTTTTATAATGCCATTGTGTGTTATTTATGGGTGACACATGCGACGTTGCCGGCTCCTCACATAAATCTGAGTTTGTCATACAATTTTATAGAGGGCATTAATGCTATATCGAAGATTTTATAAGGCCATTGTGTGCTATTGATGGTGACACATGCGACGTTGCCGGCTCCTCACATAAATCTGAGTTTGTCATAAAATTTTTATAGAGGGCATTAATGCTATATCGAAGATTTTATAATGCCATTGTGTGTTATTTATGGTGACACATGCGACGTTGCCGGCTCCTCACATAAATCTGAGTTTGTCATACAATTTTATAGAGGGCATTAATGCTATATCGAAGATTTTATAATGCCATTGTGTGCTATTAATGGTGACACATGCGACATTAAAAAATGAAAAATGAATGAATAATGAAAAATGAAATATAAAAATGAAATATGAAGAATGAAAAATGAAAAACGAAAAATGAAAAACGAAAAACCAAAAACGAAAAACGAAAAACGGACAACGGAAAACGGACAACGGACAACGGAAAACGGAAACGGAAAACGGAAAACGAAAAATGAAAACTTATAAAAGATGACAGGTACCAGATACCAGATACCAGATACCAGAAACCAGATACCAGATACCAGACACCAGTTACCAGACACCAGACACCGGATACCAGATACCAGACACCAGATACCAAACACCAGACACCAGATACCAGAAACCAGATACCAGATCCACATACCAGATACTAGATACCAGATACTAGACACCGGATACCAGATACCAGAAACCAGATACCAGACACCAGACACCAGATACCAGATACCAGATACTAGATACCAGACACCAGATACCAGACACCAGATACCAGATAGCAGATACCAGAAACGAGATACCAGATACCAGACACCAGATACCAGATAAAAAGATAACAGATACCAAATACCAGATACCAGATACCACACACCAGATACCAGACACCACATACGAGATACCAGATACCAGATACCAGACACCAGATACCAGATACCAGATACCAGACACCAGATACCAGACACCAGATACCAGACACCAGATACCAGATACCAGACACCAGACACCAGACACCAGATATCAGATATCAGATACCAGATACTAGACACCAGATACCAGATACCAGATCCACATACCAGATACCAGATACCAGACACCAGATACTAGATACCAGACACCAGACACCAGGCACCAGATACCAGATACCAGACACCAGATACCAGACACCAGATAGCAGATACCAGAAACGAGATACCAGATACCAAATAAATAGATAACAGATACCAAATACCAAATACCAGATACCAGACACCAGATACCAGACACCACATACGAGATACCAGATACCAGACACCAGATACCAGATACCAGACACCAGATACCAGACACCAGATACCAGAAACCAGACACCGGATACCAGACACCAGATATCAGATACCAAATACCAAGTACCAGATACCAGATACCAGATACCTGATACCTGATACCAGACACCAGATACCAGACACCAGACACTAGATACGAGACACCAGATACCAGACACCAGATACTAGACACCAGACACCAGACACCAGATACCAGATACCACACACCAGATACCAGACACCAGATATCAGATACCAGACACCAGATACCAGATAAAGAGATAACAGATACCAAATACCAGATTCCAGATACCACACACCAGACACCAGATACCAGACACCAGATACCAGACACCAGACACCAGATACCAGACATCAGATACCAGATACCAGACATCGGATACCAGATACCAGACACCAGATACCAGATACCTGATACCAGATACCTGATACCAGATACCAGATAAAGAGATAACAGATACCAAATACCAGATACCAGACACCAGATACCAGATACCAGACATCAGATACCAGACACCGGATACCAGATACCAGATACCAGACACCAGATACCAAATACCAGATACCAGATACCAGATCAAAGATGCCAAAGGATAAAAAATGATTAGAGATAGGGATAAAGTTATCGCTAGCATTGCATTAGCATACCAGCAACTGCGCTACGTGAGGTTTTAAATAAAGACATCAACGTGCAATATTTTGCATAGCGTTAGCGTGCCAGCAACTGCGCTAGTTTCCCCAATATTAATTAACGTCATTATGACGTACTTATCAAGCTGGTAATATTATAATGATAATATTATAATTATAGCATTCTTTGATTGATGGGCATTAGTTAAGAAATTGATTGACAAGGATAACTGTTATCAGGAATCGAAATACTTAGAACAAAGGAAGCTATAGATTAAGATATTTTAATCCATATTCATTCCACGTTATATAACGTTACCTTCAAGTGTCTATCATCAAAATATAGACAAAGAGGGGGTGGAACAGACTATTTTCAAACTCTGTACAGATTGTTGTTATATACTCAGATGCGAACAGTAGTGCCAGTTCAAAAGGTTTCAACATGTTCGTTTTCTACCACAGTAAGTTTGTATTTTCCCTTATAAGTTGTAACTGATTTGATTCTGTATTCTGGATAGAAAGAAGGGCGATCAGCTCAGCCAAGGTCACAGCACTTAGGCCTCATTGACCTCCCCCCCCCCGATGGCATTAAATATTTTAAAAAAATGTAGTGACAGATGATTTTTTAATATTTAATAAATATATTTTGTATATGTTTATAAAATATTTATTATAGATATTTGTACTATATATAATTTATATATTTTTGCGATATTTTTTCCAAATAGAAAATATATCAGGAAATATTTTTAAATATCAATTTTATATTTTGATGAGATATCTAATATTTTTCGTAAATATGTATGAATTTTCAAACATTAATCTGAAACATATTTTCAGTGTATATAGAAAATTCTCCATTGGTTATTTTAGCAAAATCTGTAGGAATGTTTATATAAAATCGGGTTTATAAAGAAAATTCATTCTAGATATAATGGTTTAATTTGTTAGAAAAATATTATTAAAAAACATTCTAAGCCTCTTCTGCATTTTGCAAGTCTATTCCTGTGAAAAAAAAACTTACGAATTATGAAGTATTATTGAATACATAAGCTGCTTTCTAGTGTATTTATGGGAATATAGAATGCCGTGGAACAATACTGGTGTTGAGCACTAATGAGTTACTTCGAGTAGCTCAACTGGGTCACTGAAAAGCAGCTCTATAATGCTCCTAAAATGACCCCACATTTTCTGCCTATGATAGTTCGAGATTTGGTTAATTTTCAAGAAAATTTGGTATGCCATTTTAGATATCTTGATGAAAAATGTCCATCATGGGCACAAGTTGGTCCTTTGACTAGCTTTTAAAAGAAAGGTTTTTGAAAATAGAACACTTACTGATTTTGTTGAAATATGACTTTTTTCAGCAACGGGGTTAATTTAGCCATAACTATAACATTTTGTGATTTTATATTATAATTCAAGGGACAAAAATATAGTATTTTCGACTGTTTTTAAAATAGTTACAGCTGATCTGCCACCTACTACGACAAAATTAGTAATGATAATAGGGATATTTAAAAAAAAACATGTTTGATGTATCTCGATCAAGTTGCGATTATATGACTATTCATTGAGATGTTATGAATATAATTTTCTTATCCATTCTCAGATAAATCCACCAATACCAAATAACTGTTACACTTCAATGCTAGTTATTAATATTCTTGTGAATACCTTTATACTCAACTGGCACAATAATGTTTACTAGACAGATAAATTAAGCTATGTAATTATCGAAAAGCTTACCATTTTCCTTTTCCCAAAAAAAACTACTCAAATAATGTACCACTTGGAGGTACACAGGAAGCACGCTACCATAGTGAAAGGCAAAATGGATGTTGGTAAAGCGGTGGTGCGCAGGCCGGCTTGCTATTATAGCATTGGTCGCTCGGGGTCACACGCACATGCGCCGTAGCCGCAAATACTTGATGAATATTTTCTAAATATTGGAGATTTAATATTTTCCATTGATTGAAAAGTAAATATTAAATCAATTTTATAAATAAAATATTGTATTTAAAATATTTAAAAGATATTGAATAAATATTTAATAAAAATATTACATTTCAAATATTTCTTAAATATTTGTGTAAGAAAACAAATATTTATGTAAGATAAAAATGTTTAATGAATATTTCGTGCTATCGGGGCCCCTTGTATGTCTTCCCAGGTGTCACTCAAGGCTAGATTGTCAGCCACCCCAAACTACTGAAAAAGGTTGTGTTACGATTTAGCGAAGTTTTCCTTATATTATAACCATAGAAGGCCATCGTTATCTCAGAACGGATAATTCTTAGCTGAAAGGGTCCTCTCGCAATGCCTATGGCAAACTGTTATCTGGACATAGAAATATAACATTTTTCTACTTTCTCACCAGGATTGCCAAGAAATTCTTTAGCGAATAGGCAGCCCGACTTTCTTTCCACTTGTAACTGACTGTAAAAGGTGGATAAAATGCCTATAACGATGATTTGTTTTACAACTTTCTGTCTAGGTCGGGTGATAACTGTTCCATTGGTGGTAACAACAATTGTTGGGTTTCAGAAGAGACACTGAGATCGGCCCATCAAAAGTACTATTATGACATCTAAAAAATCAGATTCTTGAGAATGTATTGTCAAAAATAGTCACAACCTTCTTGACATTGATTGAGGATAACTTTAATATAGCTTCAGTTTTAACTTTGTTATTGAAAGAGTTTTTGCTAATGATGGAATCGCGCTTTGATCTTTCTTTCTACTACGCACAACGTATTTATTAACGAGAAAAATATTAGTTGATGATAATTGTACTTTGCATATCTGTTTGATGTAAAATATTTTCATGTTACAGCAATAACATTAGTGGGATTAACGTTGCTGCAGTTTCATTCAGCTGCAGAACCTGAAGCTGGTGGTCTCCAGGAATCGTCTCTTGTGGTTTCACATGTGGTATGTTAAAAAAACGCATATAATTGTCACGAATGTAACTGATTCTATAATTCAGTAAGAAGATATTTTGTGTGTGCTGTTTCATATAGGATATGCTATCAGAATTTAGATATTAAAATAGTTGTGCCCACTACTACTGTGCACACACTCTAAGGAGTTTTTGATGGCTGTGATAAATAAAATTGCATATGTAAAAACAGCCCTTGTTAAAGACTAAAGTTTGCTGATAAAGTCGTAACCCATTTGTGAGTCACCGTATGTGAACTATGTAAATAACATTTTTATAAGCAATGATTGTTCCATAACCAATTAGTCGTCAGTTAACATCAAATTATGGATAAATGTGATTATTAAGTTAAGTAACATAAATGACAAAGGATGCGGAAATAAGATCAATGATTAAATAAGTTTAAAAATATGAATGATGAATTACATAAATATTAAAACTGCAAGTAATGAAATCCTTATCAGACACTTAATACTTATCAAGTAATGAAAATTTCATTTTATTTAACAATAGTTACCATTCAATCATCCGATTGTTATTATTCTTCTTAATCTATCTAGAAAGCAATAAATGAAAATATAAAAATAATTCACAACGCTGTAATATAGGTGAATTTTATAAATAAATAACAGTCTTAGAGGAAAAGTTTGATATGTTTACTCATACACTGCGTCGTTTATATTTGCATGTGGCTTTGGTTCAAAATAAATTTTCATGTTATCTATAACATTAATACTATTTTTTGACTTATCAGTTTCCGTTGTTTCCTGTATATCTACATATATGTATTAAATACACACGTAGTTTATCTTCTACTATCCAAATATTCAAAGTAATTCTGACTTTTAGCTTTTCAGACATGGAAACAGGACTCCAGAATTGACAGAGTTGTATCCTAAAGACCCATACCTGAATGAGCGTTATTATCCATATGGACGAGGTCAACTTACTAAGGTATGGAGTCACTTATGTCATTTTATGGCATTATGTTACACTACCTACAGTTTTGTTTGTTTTAATGAAAATGCATCAATTTTGATATTTTTTAGTTCTCGTATCCAATGAAATCAATCACTTTTTCAGCTGCTTACCTCAGTATACGTACGTTATCGTATAAAATGCAGATAAAATAATGTCATCAAGTGCGATGGAGTGGAAAAGCAAAGGTTTTTGTTACTACACCTCAATGTTAAGAATGTTTTTAGCTTGCAAAAACTAGATTAATGTCAATCGGTATTTGTATACAGCGGACCATGAAGTAGATGTCACTTGATACACCTACATAATTAACTTTGACCTATTCTGGGTCACCTCCATGAATAATAATATTTTTATTACCGTTGTTTCTTTTGCTACATCATTTTTACCTCTCTCGCCATCTGAAAATTTCGGAAATAAATTATTATGTTTTTGAATATTGTATGTACAATACATCTGGAAAAAACATGTCACTCATTTCTGATGCCCTATCTGTTTAACTGCCTGTCCACTTATCCTTGGTCCCGCTGTAACTTTAGAAAGTACTCTTCGGATTTTGATAAAATTTCGACACAAAGTTACAGCTACACATAACATAGAAAAAATTGTCGTTTTTATAATCGATGGTGTAGCTACAGGCAAAAAAGACGAGACAAATAAATTGTCTAAAATTTCGTTGTTTGACATTTTCGATACTCCTGATTATTTTCAAAACAAAATGCATGTCCGGCAGTTGTAGGGTGTGAAGGAGGGTATATCTCAATTTGTTGGCGTAGGTGTATTTACACGCTTCCAACCCCAGTAATTCTAGAAGTACATAATACCATAGATTGCTCTTCCATCCTACGTTTAATCAATTTTAATGTACCTAGGATCGGTAGTAGGATTAGTGCCACGTTCAAGTGTAGTAGGCCAAGAACCAATATCTTAGTTAAGTCGCCCATTCATGTAATGTGTAGGAACTGTAACAGAATATCTACTTATTGTGACATTTTTATTTGCACGTTGGAGGATCTTATGAGTCAAGCTGTCATTCACCTTTAATTGTTTTTCTTTTTTTCTTTCTTTTTTTGTCTTTTGAATTTATAATTCACTTGCACGTTGAATAAGCTTGTGGATCAAGCTGTTATACACATTTAACTTGTTTTTCGTAGTTAAACATGTAATAATTTAGAACCTCTCTTAATTACCCTGTAAATGGTTAGCTGTTGGGTAATAAAGCTATTATTATTATTATTATTATTATTATTATTATTATTATCATCATTATTATTATTATTACATACCTATTAGACATTTCGTACATGGATTGACACTTGAATGATGGGAAATATCGTCAGCTTACTGAAGCTTACTTCTTGAGTCCAGTGCATTTTCTCACTTATACCAGTTACGGATAAAATCCTTTAGTTCAAATTTTCTTATATTCTAATTCTGTATTCGAAAAAAATGTCAATCGCTAATAACTTCGTTTTTGGGGTGTTTGGTTTTTGCAGTTACCTGGCGGTATTTTCAACATATGTGTCAACGCAACATTAACGAATGTGGGTATACTTGCATCAGAGCTGGACCGACTGGTGGTTGGCAGCGCTGCCAGAACTACCGTTTTGATCCCTCAACTACCGTTCATTTGTCGCACAAAATTAGAACATAAACACCTTATTTAAACGTGCAGGCCTACCTTGAGAAGTGCAAACTCAAGCTAATGGGCGGCACATTTTCAATTTCCCACGCTACAGCAATTTATTCAGACCTGTTCTTACTATTCCTTGTGGTCGCAATAATATCGGACACACTCATTTAGTTGACTCTGCACTTCCCAGGAAGCGCCTTCATCAGTTTACAAATGAGTATGTTCAGCACAAGTTGACCCTCTAAGAGAAAAGTTAGTTTCGAACATGTATAACAGAGAAATTAAACGGACCAAGTCAGTCGAACAGGTCCATACAATTAGTCCATAGACATTCTCTCCCTACTTTACCGGTAGTCTATCTGGTAACGCCGTCTCTTCCCGATACCTATGCCTCCCACATGCGGCAACGCATCAGTAATGCTGGGAGTAGAAGCAGACGGGTATCGAAAACATTCTGTTTTGAGGGCAAATGTACCTGCCAATCGATGATGTGTGAAATATGTCTAATAGCTGTTGGGAATAAATATACTGATAAAAAAATTGAGATATACCCTCCCCCAACCCCAACCATATAGAGTAATTCCCTGATTTTTTTTTAAAATTGATCAGGATTCTCTGAAACGTCAAAAAACGAAGTTTGAGCGATTTGTCTTTATGTTTTCGTTTGGCCTTTTGCCCGCCACCGTTACACCGATTTTCAAAAACCGCATCTCTTTTTCGCCTTGGGTAAAAATTTCATCCATATCCGAACAGTACTTTTCAAGTTATATAGTGAGGATTAGCGGATAGACCGACTAAATGAGCGACTCTGAGCCACTGAATCGATTTTTAAAAACCATAAAGCTCTTTCGTCTTTGGCATAGTCGTAAACTTCTGTCAAAATTTCATTAAAACCATATCGTAGTTTCCAAGTTCTAGCGGCATCCAGGGTTAGCAGACAGACAGGGAAATAGGCCGGTTGAAATGAGTGTGTCATGTACATAATACTTCATTTTAGAAATTTTTCGCGAAGTGTTTATATATTTTTTGTTTGAAAAACTCTCTCGTTTCCTTAAAATACTTGAAATATTCAACCAGGCCCGGTTAATGGTAATTTCATCTTGCAGAATGTATCAAAGTTTGGTGTTTTTTTTATTTGCAAGATCACTCACCGAGAATAAAACCATACTTTCCATCAAAAATTACACGTTCTGAGTTCTGTGAATTGAACTGATGCATCGTTTCGCTTTTTTCGTTTATCTCCATTACTAATCTTTGAATCGTAAACATTACAGAAGAAGTTACGATTCTATCATATGCAATGTATTACTAAGACGCTTCAATACTTTGAAATCGTTGGGAAACTCAATGTGGAAGGTTTTCCGTACCGTTCAATAGTGAGCGACTGTTTGTATTTATTATAGGCTGGAAAACGGAAAGAATTTAACATCGGATCCACCTTGAGGAGCAGATATAGGAACTTTCTAGGAGATTTTTATCTACCAGATATGGTCGAAGCACTATCTACAGATTACAATAGGACAAAAATGTCGCTGGAATTGGTTCTAGCGTCACTGTTCACACCTAACAAGGATCAGATGTTCGAAAATGGACTTTACTGGCAACCTGTGCCTTATAACTACTTACCAAAGAATAAGGATCCGGTGAGTATATTCCTTGAATTTGAACAATTGCGTGTATGTGTACATATACGTATCTACTTATGTGGAAAGCTTAGGGTGTACCATACATACCATACTAGACTTCCGATTATAAAAAGCGGTCCAGCGATATAGCGCCTTTTATGTTAAATAGAAGCAGCCATGGGATAGCTTTGTTAGACAACAGTTTGCTGTTGGCTACCAGATTTGTTTGCTTGAGGAATAAATACTATACATCTACTGCCGACTGCGGTTCTATGGTTATTTTTTTTTGCTCACTAGGTACATTCTACAAATAAACATGAAATACTTTTTCGAATTACAGATCTTACTTGGTGTCCTGTGCCCTCACTACCTCGAACTAT